GTATTATAGTCAAGCAGTAGTAAGAAGTTTTATTTTAATACCTTCAAGTGCCTCTGGGTAAAACCCTTTCTCGTGTGCTATACATACTTATGAATTACTCTAAAGACATATTTTCTTTTATAGTACATTACTCATTTCTACTTAAGTAACCCGGAACATGAATTCACATAATGTATTGTACAGTATCTTAGGTTAAGTAAATATTGATTGAATAAATATTGTAAGAAAAAAGGTAACCCATGACAAGATCATGTTGAGACGACTACAGAACAGGGCGACTCAATGTTTGATAACACAATCATAATTTCAAATTTTTTACCAACCCGTTCACAATATTTGAAAGAATATCCACAACGGAGAGTTACCCTGTTTTCGGGTTCTATCCCAATTCAGTAAAACATATAATAAGATATGTTCTGACTTTATTTATCAGTTGCAATTTGTTACGATATTCGTGTATTTTAAATACTACAATACAATTCAAGAAATCAAAACATTTCGCTTTTACACATTCGTAAGAACACATCTGTATAAACATACCTTGCGGCGTGTGAGGGTGTGGTTGGGTATTTGTGGATGGTCCTTATCGTGGGATTTAAACCTTCTATTTGAAGGCATGGTCAGAAACGAGGACGTCCTCAATTAGAACTAACTATCCGGACATGCCCAGAAGCCCCAAATCGATAAAGCGAACTGTACCGTCGGGTTATATCGGTGTGGTGTGTTAAGCGTTTGGATTGACGAGCGCCACTTTGAGCAGTAAGTAAACACTACTACATACATACATCATATTTTATTGACTAATTAATCTACAGCCCTGCACATGTTTGACCTCGAGAGATATATTTAATACAACCACATAATTTACTACCATTCCATTTTAAACCGAGTGATTTTTATTTACCACCTGTATAGTTCATTTGCTATCAATATATTTTATCCCAGCTACGTGTTTTATTCCTGTATATAGTTTAATTTATTAGCCATATAATCCATTTGAATCCGAATGATTTATTTGCCACCCGTATATTTCATTTACTTCCCATCTATTGGTTTTCCAACCGTGTTTTGTATTTGCTACCCATATACTTCTATTACTACCAATATGTTTTATTTCTGACCGTATGTTTTATTTGTCAACATATAATTCATTTACAATACTACCTAGGGGAGAAATTAATAATATGCCCGAAATTCAATTACTATTTTACATAATAATAAAACGCTGTTTTTTTGGTGGAGGGTGTAAATTGAATACAGTAGTGAATGTGTACTGCATTTACTATGGTATTAAACTTGTCGAGAGTCACGGTTTGCGAAATTTTTGTGGCATCGATGTAATCTCTTGACCAATTGACGATGCTGGACAAGCGACCTCTAATGGCAGTAAGAAATGTGTTGTATTTCGACAATAAGGCGTCTTCTATCATATTTGGCAGACTAATTCGCCATTCGGATGCCATGCAGTGTGCAATGATGGACACTGAACAGCGGCCCTATTGCATCCTACGCTTACATCGAATTGTTCCTGTCGAGGCTTCGTTTGCGTGTACACGGGACCTCGGTGTTTCGTCCCACCGAAAGACTTCACCAGATGAACTTTCTCGGCCAACACTATGATTGAACACATGACCACAAGGATTTTGTGCCAACGTCTGACTGACAGAACCACCGTGTCTCCTCCCATGTTAGGTACGTTATACTGCATTTGGGCGAGTATTGGGTGGCCGAATTGTTAACTCGTGCTCGTTGGTATGTTATAGAGTCAAGGGGCGTGGTTTCGATTTCGGGCTTGTACGTGTCAAGAAGTAGTGTCGCCTGTGCAACCTCGTGGGGCTTTTGCTAAAGACGTCCACGTACAAGCGAATTATTGAAATAAAATTGAACAAATTTTTTATAAACAGTATCTCTATTCATATCTTTATATGAATAGGGGTTGTGGAACACGCATAGCGTATACTAAATCCCTCTCCGTTTACATTTTATCAATAAAGAAACAATGTACTATATTATACTCAGCCAAATTAAAAACTTGACACTGATGAATTTCAACAAAATTTTTTTTCTGGTAAGTCAAATATATTTTAAAGTGTTTCTAACGATAGTAAGTAGTAAGAAGTCTTTAATTTCATAAAATTGTAAAGTCACGTGGATCACGTGACTTTTGGGCATATAAAGATGAAAAACCTGAAAAACACGTGCAAACACAAACTCGTGAGGTCAATCGATGCAATTTTGCTTAAACTGAACACGCACACGTAACTTGAACTGGAAAAACAAATTAAAATTGTTATTTTCATCTTTGTTAGAAAATGCCGCGCCTTTCAAATGTAGAACGTCTACGTGCTATAGGTAGGCTCTATGCTGGTCATTCTGTGGTCACTATTGCAAGAGCCTTTAATTGTTCACGTCAGACAATAATTAATCTTAGAATGAGAGTGCTTCAAACTGGAACTATTGCCGACCGCCCAAGGGCGGGAGCGCCACGTGTGACGTCACTCCAGGAAGATCCAGCAATACGATTACGTCATCTTAGAAACAGATTTGTCACTGCAACCTCCACAAGTAGAGAGATGTTTGGTGGAAGGGTAACTGCACAAACTGTTCGAAATCGCTTGCAGGCTGCTGGACCAATATTGACACCTCTTCATCGCCGTAACCGACTTGTGTGGGCCAGAAGACACATAAGATTTACTCAAAGACAGTGGAATTCGGTTGTCTTTAGTGACGAACCTCGATTCACTTTGAGATCTGCCGATGGCAGGGTCCAAGTGTACCGCAGACGAGGTGAACGTTACGCTCAAGTATGCGTCAGAGAAGTTGACCGATTTGATGGCGGCAGCGTCATGGTTTGGGGTTCTTTTTGTGCACATGCACGTTCTCCTCTTGTTGTTGTCCAAGGGAACTTAAATGCTGTCCAGTACAGGGATCAAATTTTGCAACCTGTTCTTCTTCCGTTTATGCAGAGACACGGGCCTGGACTAACGTTTCAACAAGACAATGCTCGACCCCATACAGCAATTGCTACCCAGAATTTTTTAAGAAATGCCGGTGTCCAAGTCCTGGATTGGCCGTCGCTTAGCCCCGACCTTAATCCTATCGAACACATCTAGGACGAACTGGGTCGACGTGTTCGTCAGCAAGTGAATCCACCACTGACGTTGCAGGACCTTCAACATGCTCTTGCTGAGCAGTGGCGACGTCTTCCTCGGGTAGTGTTTACTAATGTTCTGAGATCCATGAGAAGACGTTGTGTGGCAGTACGAGACGCTAGAGGAGGCCACAACCGTTACTAAACACTTTATTCCGATTGTTCTCCAAGTCTGTGAATTTCATTTTGGGGGGTACTGTTACATCACGAACGTTATCAATGTCAAGGACTTTCGGCGAGACGTATTCTTGCTTTCTGTTGATGTCAAGGTCGTCTGTGCACAACATAACACTAAAATAGTTGCCTTAAACCAAATATTAAAAATCTAGTCCCAAAAATCCCGAGTGTCAAATTTTTTAATTTGGCTGATCGAGCGGGCGTTAAACTCCATTTCTCACCCTGCATTTGAGTCCCGTCTGGGTACACAATGAATATCATCATAAAATAAAACATAATCAAAGACAGCCGTTTTTTTATTTCATTTTTTAGCCGTAGACTTGCGTTTCATTTGTTTTATTTATCTTACTATACAATTTATTTTCAATCGCATGTTGATTTTTTTCAATTTCGTATAGTTCAATACTTTACACATTTTAACGTATTTATATTTATCGGATGAACTTTTTCTTTCCACTAAGTGACCAACAGAACAGAACTAGAATTTCATACGCCTTATTGACGCAGATCAGTGTGGTTTTAGAGAAAACCACAGAACAGTGGACAATGTTTTTATTCTGAAAACCTTAATAAACAAACAAAAATGCAATAAAGAATCCTGTTCTTCTGTTTTGTGGATTTCCCAAAAGCCTTCGACAATATCTGGCGAAATGATCTACATCTGAAACTTCTAAAACATAACATTTCTGGCAACGTATTTAACCTCATATACTCAATGTATGAAAGGACCTCGTATCGCGTCAAAACTACCAATGGGCTTTCTAACTCAATAATTTCACATATGGATGTAAAACAAGGCTGTGTTCTAAGTCCAACCCTCTTCAATATTTATATTAATGATCTTCACACTTATTTAACCAATTCTGATAACGATGCACCCACTCTAGATAATACCAAAATTTCACACCTTCGCTTTGCTGATGATTTAGTTCTGATTTCCTCTACCGATATTGGTCTTCAAAAGAGTCTAAATAATGTTCTTCTCTAATAATAAGAAAAACATTAATAAAAGGTTCCATATTGGAATTCATAACATGGAAAATGTAAATACGTATGTGTATCTGGGTGTATTAATATCCAATAACTCTAGTTTTAAACAGGGCATGTCAAACTTAGCGAAAAAAGCGAAAAGAGCCTGGTACAGTATCATAAATAAAGTATGTACATCTGACTATATTCCTACTGACGTCTTGATCAAACTGTACCAGGCCATTATCAAACAAATAGCAACTTATGCTTTTGATATAAGGGGAGCCGGATTGGTGCACAGCAAAAAATTCGCAGTTGCAAAATGGGGCAAAATTAATCTAAACCAATTAACTATAAAAATATGCAAATCCATAACTCCAATAACAGCTCTGAAAAAGGGTATAAGGAAAGTAAAATACATACATTTAAGTCATTTAACTTAGTATGCTGTATGATTTTACTTTGCTATGTGCATGTGTAAACTTTGTCCTCGTTGCTGCAAAACTACAGATTAATACACATAATATTCTTCTTAGATGGATGTGCAATTTTAATTACAAGAACTGAATTCTAAACTTAATATTCCATTGTGTATACTTTTTACATGAAGGAGGTCGGTGAATGAATGGGGGGAAATAACAAAATAATTTTAAATGACAGAAAGTTTAAATGCCTTTGTCTAATTTGCTTTTTCAGACTCATGATGAAAGCCACTGCTTTGTATTTAGTTTCGGTTTTAGTGGTAGTTCGTGGAGAAGACATTTTAAAGGTTAGCAAAAATTGTGCCTTCAGTGAAGACCTCAAATATCGCGGTATTAAAGCTGATTGTTCTCATGGCGGTTTTTCTACGGTTCCCTGGAATCTACCGATAAACACAACATCCTTGTATCTGAATAACAATAACATCCGGCATCTTTTAAACAATCAGTTCTCTGAATTACTTAATCTAAAATATTTAAATTTAAATTTCAACCCTATACTGGAAATCCAAGAAGATGCCTTCAACAATCTCAATCAGCTACACGAGATACAATTAAATGGACATAATCTCAACTATTCGGAAAGTGCACTGCCAGATAAATCCCTTAAACCACTGAAGTCCCTGAAACGTTTGAGTATCCGATCACATTTGAAGAACTCCGCGAACATTTCAAGCAAAGGTTTCCGCCATTTAAGCAGTTTGGAGTCACTTGATATCGATGCAATTGAATTTAATGCCGGGTTTTCAGAACTAAAAAATCTTAAACAGCTTGATTTATCGGAAAGATATATAGATGGTGTTACGTTTGATTGTCAACTAGCCTACGTCACAAATAGCACTTTCTCAGTATTTAAGACAGTTCCAATTTTAACCCTTAATTTGACAAGCTGTTTAATTTACGGTATAGAACCGGGTACATTAGCACCTTTTCTGAAATTAGAAAATATTATTTTATCCTCAACCGCATCATCTTTACTACCGTTTCCTGAAGTGATGAACACGTTACAAGTTTTTAAAAACAGAACACTTAAATATGTAAAAGTCGCCGGGTTTTCACCTAGAGTAAGGTATATCACAAGTGCTGGGTATGATTTTAACGTAGAACTAATCTCAGATATTTGCATCTGGTCTTTGGACTTACGTTTTAATGACATATATATGTGCGATGTTTCAAAGTTTATAACTTTTCCCATACCAACATTGACCAAGTGTCTTAGGCATCTTGACGTTTCAAACAATATGATTTTGGGAAAGGTAACCAATCTGATAGATTTTTACCTTTTATTCCCCCGGTTTGAAAATCTGGAATATCTTGATCTCTCTAAACAATTAAAATTTAGTCTTGATGGTAACACAGAATTTGACAACCTCGACCCACCTTCTCGCCCCGGATCCATTCCGGTGTATTTACCACCCAAACTGAAATATCTTTATCTAAATGGTTTAGCTAAACGCATTGGTACAATTCCAAACGTTCAATTCATTGGAGGATCAAATTTGCTTCATCTTAATTTTTCCTATAGTATGTTAACTCTCTATAATGAGGCCATTATTACAGGTTTAGAAAATTTACATGTACTTGATTTAAGCCAAGATAACTGTCGGTATATAAATCAATCCTTTTTTGATACTTTTCCAAATTTAACTACTTTAAGATTAAGTCGTGTAAATTTTGATACAGATCAGATTTTTAATATTGGTAAAAGATTGTTTCAACCCTTGAAAAAGTTGCAAAATCTAGATCTGACAAATAATTTATTAACTGGCTTGCCCCACGATATATTTGATGATTTGATAGAGCTGCAGGTTGTATCGCTGTCTTATAATAATTTAATTAGTGTCCCAGATCTAAAGCATCTTGTCAACTTGAAGTCTATATTCCTTAGTTTCAACGCTTTAGTAACTGTTGATGGACAAACCCGAAACACATTAGATGCACTTTCTAAAGGTAATAGGGTTCATGTATCTTTTTACGGAAACACCTTTGCATGTATTTGTGAAAATTCTGACATGTTAGATTGGTTCATTCAGACCAGAGTGGATCTAGATGGTAGAAATTATTCTTGTGTAGATTGGAAAGGGGAGAGAATCTACACTAACCACATGTACAGGCACTACCGAGACTTTCAACAACATTGTATTTCTGGAACTTGGTTTGCTATATCTATTACTGGATCAAGTGTTATATTACTTGCTATACTGACTTGTTTTATTTTCGTTAAGAATAAACTTAAAGTAAAATTATTTTTATTAAGAATGATTGGACGATATATTCAACCCAAGACGAGAGAAGAGTTTGCTTATGATGTATGTGTTCTTTATGCCGATGATGTTTACCAGTGGGTGTGTCATAATATGTACGAGGAACTTGAAGTACGACGTGGATTAAAACTATATCTTCGTCATAAAGATGAACCTATTGGCGGAGATAAGCCCCAGGAGCTGTACAACTCCATGGATTCCAGTTGGAAAGTGATTTTAATTTTAACTCCTGGATTGCTTGCTGACGTTTTTTCAGCCTATACCATGTCTGTATGCTTGTCGTTTATAACTTTAACCACACCCAACAGATTGATGTTGATAATAGATAAGGGTATGGATATACCTACTAATATAGATTACTTTCTTGAAGCAGTTAATGAGGAGAATGTTTACAGGTATGAAATAAACCATCTATATGACGATGACCCTCAGTTGTGGAATAACATTTACAATGGTATAACAGCAAGGAATTTGTAGGATAAATGGAAGAGTGAGTAGTGGTAGATTAGTGTTAGATTTATTCGTATTAATTCGCCAGCCTTTTCATACAAAGGTTACTCGATCTATTTTTGTCGTGTAGAGTCTTTAAAGCATATTGGAGTTTCTGTTTTCTGTGTATAATGCATTAATATAAGATACTACATTGTCTGTATTTGATAAATATAGCACTATTTTTTATGATAGGGTATTTAACAAAAAGCAACCTATCATGTCTTTTGTAAATAAAGAAATATTTGTTATACAATACTACAGTTGAATGATAAGAAATTTACCATAAAAACTTACATTTTGAGAGATAATGATTTTTTTTTACTGTAAAATGATATAACGTAATACGGCTGTATTTCTATACCGTAATGTATTTTATAAATACAGTAGTACTTACTTTAGCATAATGTGTTTAATAAATATTGATGCAGTTACTATAACGTAATATATTTTATAAATATAGCAGCGTTGTTTTTTTTTTTACCGTAATGTATTTTATAAATGTAGCACTATTTATTGTAAGAGACTTGATTTTATTCATATAAAAATATATACACATTTTTCGATAAAGTAATGGATGAAATTTGCGTCGTGGGCAAGGGTGCATTTTTAGCCAAAATTTATATTAAGTCGGCATTCAGACCCTTACCGATTTACCCAAGAGATTTGGATTTATTATGCTTTCAATTCGACAACAAGTATTATAGTTGTTTGATTTGTTGTATCTTATTTGAGAAGTTTTCAACCTTTTTACATTGGGTTGTAGAATTTAAATCCGGTTTGGATTCCCTGAAACAATATCTGAATGATTTTATTTTCAAATTGTCAAATTATATTGATTAGCTGTTGCGTTGATTTGTGCCCAGAGATTGGAGTCCCTATAGAACATGAAAAAACCTTTGACCCTATAACAACACTAACCTTTCTGGGCCTTGAGACCGACACTGTAAAATCTGTTATCCGTGTACCAACAAACAAAACATAAAACTTAATTAGTTTGTTACAAGTGTATTCAAAAAGAAAGAAAATAACTTTAAAAGATATACAGTAGTTGGCTGGCTGCCTTAATTTTCTCTGCAAGGCTATTAAGTCAGGTAGAGCATTATTTATAAGACGGTTTTATGATGCAATGGCCGGAATTAAGAAACAATTTCATTTGATCAGAATTAATGATGGTCTTAAACAAGACATGCTGATTTGGCATGAGTTTTGAATAATGAAATCTTCTTTCCAGAAGTTCTCTGGTCAAGCAGTGAAGTCTCGCAGCTCTTCACTCACAGTGCGGGGAGATATGACTTGGGTTGAGGGGCGTATCTGTTCGGGCTGTGGACATTATTTTCAGTGGCCACTCTCTTGGAAGAATAGTGCAGTTATGTCTGATGTAACGTTTTTAGAGTTCCGATTTTTGTTGCTATTTCTGTATGGTGGAAAAAGTTGGCCAATAAAAAAATAACATTTCATCTTGATAACATGTCATTGGTAACTATTTTAAATAATTGTACATCCAAATGCAAACGGGTTATGCAACTTTAAAGACCCCCTCCCCTTTTGTATGCTTTAAAGAATAGCATTATCTTTCGTAGTCGTCATTTATTTAGTTGTTTTAATGCCATACCTGATTCTATTTCTCCAAAACAGTGGACTCGATCCAGAAGCTTGGCATCGGCAGCGGACACCAACCCACAACCAATTCCGGACTACACACTAGAGACGATTTACAATGTGAAGTGAACAGACTATTACACAATTCGTGGTCTACAAATACTCATATGACTTATGCAACTGGCTTATAGGAGTTTACAACATTTGGTGTTAAAAATGATTTTCTGCAAACTGGGCCTCCAGAATTAGATCACGTGATGAACTTTATAGCGGATCTACCTTAAATAGACTCGGGAGAGATATTTTGTAGCGACGCTGTCTGGGCAAGATGTCTCTCATAGCACACATAATGACGTTTCCTGTTTTCATTAGCCTAGTCGGAGCAGAATAATAGGACGTTAACACCTATTTCAATTCATATTATTAAATTAACATGTCGGATATGTAGAAAGATCTTCTAATATCTGTCAAACGATCTACAACGTTAATATGTATGATCCTAACAAAAAAAAAATGTTTAAAGCTGACATTCTCTGAAACCCAAATAATCAAATCAGAATTTAATATGTATGATCCGATCAAAAAAAAAGGTTTTAAGCTGACAAGTCTCTGAAGCCCCAATAATCAAATCAGAATTTATTTATTTTATCTTCATTTTAATCAAATCACACCATTATATTTATTTAGTGTAGACAACATATGTATAGTTTATGACCCCCAACAATTACAATACATGCTGCGTGTTACAAATTGATAAATTGGGATATATGGCGAATGAAATGGGGTTAATGGCACGTCAGCAAAAATCTGAGGTACATATGGTGATTTATCACATAAACATTTATAGGCTTAAATAAAAACAATCATAGTAAACGTAGTTCAAATGTAAAAATAAAATCAATCTTTTATGCATAGAGATATTCAAACGTCCTACCGTTCAGCTCCTATACTGGGCTAACGAAGACGGGCATACGCCATACATTGTGTTATGAGGGAAATTTTGCCCGGGCAGCGGCACTATGGCCTACTCTTATATCGAATTCCAATTGCCAATAAATATTCAAAATAGAAAGTAATACATTGTGTTCTGAGGGAAATTTTGCCCGGGCAGTGGCACTATGGCCTACTCTTATATCGAATTCCAACAGCCAATAAATATTCAAAATAGAAAGTAATACATTGTGTTCTGAGGGAAATTTTGCCCGGGCAGTGGCACTATGGCCTACTCTTATATCGAATTCCAACTGCCAATAAATATTCAAAATAGAAAGTAATACATTAAGTAACTCAAAATCATTCATTGTCTTCGATATTGTAAACACGACTTATAGGCCAATTTAAATCAACACTGCATGATGTTGTAATCTTACCGTGAAAAGATGGGTTTCTGGTATCCAATATCTAAAACAAAATGAAAATTTTATAATTGGCACACGAATCGCGGTTCAGAATGCTTTCGAGTGCCATTTGTAATGAAGCGACTCGACTAACGAGGCTAAACGTACCCCACTGGAGAATTCTACCGGTGTAGACTGGAATAACCAGACGCTAAAGACTATCGTTCAGTTTGGACTCTGCGTATTTCGCCGAACATACATGTAACTCATTAGAAATTACAGTAAAAACAGAAAAAGATTGAATGTAAATCAATTTATATACATTCATATTACATTACTATATTCGCAGTAAATAGAATTAAAAATAAAATCAATCTTTTATGCATATATACATTTAAAATAGAATGAAGACCGGCAGTTTGCTGTGAGGGAAATGTTAGCTGGACAGTGGTGTTACGATCTACTGTTATTCTACATTCTGTTTTTGGTTTCATTCATATGACCAGGTCTTCCACCCTGCCAGGCCCTTTACCCTGAGCCACGGATAAATAGAAACCTTGCCGGAAAATCTTGAAGAACGTTTTCGATCAACATCGGGGTCGAGCCCTGTACCCCATTGATAGCGAGCCAACGTCTTACTCGCCAAGGCACCCTGTACAGTGTACACTCTTGGGTGCACATAATAAACCCCTTTCCCTCATAGCAAACGACAACGGCCCCCTGGAGGTCTTGGTAGCATTCATTATGTCATTATGTAACCTTAACTTGTTGGCATGTTTTATTTAACTTTCTTTGTCTGATAAGCAAACTTTACTAAATGTTAAACCTGATATGATACACGATACATTAGCCAGATGTCTAATAAGATTCCTTTTTCTGGAAGGATTTATAAACCCAGATAACGAACGAATAGACGGAGTGGGGTCCGGCCAGGACACGAGAGCGGAGGCCACGGGCGCCTTGGCACGAGACGCGGCGGAACGAGGGAGAGGTCTGGGAGTTGGCACACTCGTGCCTAGCCAAGCTAGGACATGGCCCCCCAATACAAGTTAGTTATGGGGTCTTTTAACATTATGATGTTTGTACGTGATATGTAAGAAGCAGAGAATAAAAGTATTATAAGATGTTAAACTAGTCTTGTCATCTGAACCTGATTTAAAGACCAATACTGTCACATTGTTTGTCATCTACAGACCGCATTGCTTAACGTATTACCTTGAAACTTTGCATACTTATTCCTTCTATTATAAGGAACATCCCTATTGTTTATGGTGAATGCTCAACTCCCAGGGGCAGAGCCACGCCGATTTTCTTTTTGTGTGTCTGCGTGTCACTTACAACCTGCAATTCTTAATCGATCGTCTTGAAAACTTTTTTATACTTATTCCGTATGCCCTTAGGCTGACCTCGATTATTTTTAGTGCATGCCCGACCCCCTGGGACAGAGCCACATCTAATGTTTGTGTGTCTTGTGTTTCGCTGACGAGCCGCAATTCTTGACAGATCCATTTTTGTTTGTGTCTCTGTGTGTTGCCTACAGGTCACGATTCTTAATAAGTCATCTTTTAACTTGGGATATGTATTCATTATAGCCTAAGGACGAAAACTGCATGTCCCGACCTCCAGGTGGCAGAGCCACGCCCAAGTTTTGTGTTTATCGTTTACAGGCCGCAATTCTGAATGGATCAACTTGATAATTGGCATATGTATTCCTTATAGCCTAAGGGCGTCAACTATTGATTTTGGTGAATGTCCCGACGGCCAGGGGCAGAGCCACGCCCAATTTTTGTATTTATCGTCTACAGGCTGCAATTCTGAATGAATCATCTCGGAACTTTGCATATTTATTCCTTTTACCGTAAAGACAGCACTTTTTTGTTAATATTTTGTCTGTAAATTTGGCAAAACAAACCCAACGCCTAGCCTTCTTTGCCTCTTGTCATATTACAGCCATTTCATATTTCATTCTCTTTATTTTAAAAAGTACCATATCAATCAAAGCAGGGATGTGGACGTATATTGCAGCCTTAGCGATGCTTTTGTTACATGAAGGAGATCCCGTTAATGATTGGGGGGAAATAACAAAATAATATGAAAGAAAGTTTAACTGCCTTTGTATTTTGTATCGCTTTTAGTGGTAGTTCGTGGAATAGACATTTTAAAGGTTAGCAGAAAATATACCTTCAGTGAAGACGACAAATATCGCGGTATTAAAGTTAATTGTTCTCGTGGGTTATTTTCTACAGTTTCTAGGAATCTACCGATAAACACAACATCCTTGTATCTGAATAACAATAACATCCGGCATCTCAGAATTACTTAATCTAAAATATCTAAATTTAAATTTCAACCCCATACTGGAAATCCAGGAAGATGCCTTCAACAACCTCAATCAGCTACACGAGATACAATTAATTGGACATAATCTCAACTATTCGGAAAGTGCACTGCCAGATAAATCCCTTAAACCACTGAAGTCCCTGAAACGTTTGAGTATCCATCACATTTGAAGAACCCTGCCATTTAAGCAGTTTGGAGTCACTTGATATTCATGCAATTGAA